ACGATGATACTTTTGGTGGCGATTCTGCTGTCGCGGGAAATGTTGGAAAGGACTTTGACTTTTTTGGACAAACTGCCAAAGTTGCTGATGCCATCGAGGAGGAGCATCTTCGCTTCAATCGTCAGCAGCCTGCTCCCAGAGCAACGGCCGCCCAGCCGCAGTCGCAGGCTGTCCCCTCGCAGACCATATCGAACCATTCAACCCAGTCAACACAAAGACCTGCCCGAACTGGATATGAAAAGTACAGGGAGCCAGAACCACTCCCAGATCTGCATGTTGATCAGAGTATTTGGGGAATTGCACCAGCCAAGACGACTGCACACACTTCGCAGGGCGCTACCCAACAAACCTCCACATCATCCAGCCGAAGAATTATGAGTCTCGAAGAAGTCGAGGCTTCTATGAGAGCCCAAGCCCCGAAACAAGCACAGCCTCAGGTTCCTCTGTCTGACCCTGCCATCTATCAGCAAGGGCCGACCACGGAATATATTACATCTCAACATGCTATGCAACACCATCAACAGGGCCATCCTGGCCACGGACCCCCGGTCACGATATTGCAACGTCCTCAGAGCATGCAGACCAGGCCAACAGAGCAGATGCCTGCGCCACCACAACCACAGTCCCGCCAGCAAGCGCCTCCTGTGCAGCCCACCCAGATCTTACAGAATCCTAACCGTCTTTCTGGAGAGTCTGCACCGATGAGTGTGCCTAGCCCTTACGGCCATCGTTCCCAAGGCTCCATTCCTGGCTTGGCGCAACTGCAGGCTCATCCTCACATGTTGCAAATGTCTGAGGACGAAAAGGCCGCCTTTTTAGATCAGGAAACTAAGCGTGCCAAACGAAACCACAAAATCTGGCTTTTGTCTAAAGACAATGGACTAATGACACCCCAGGATAAGAATTTTATAACCCGAATTCAGTTGCAGCAACTTGTCTCCGCTACTGGGAACCCTGTTGAAGGCTCTGATGCTTCCATTTCCGAAGACTTTTACTACCAAGTCTACAGTCATATCCGTGCCGGCCAACGGCAAAATCCAAGTCAACCCCTGAGTAATTTTGCGCAGACTTATCTATTCCAGACGGGAAGTCGCCATGGTGGAATGCGCCGCCATGGCAGACCTGCTGAGAATCACATTCAGCGAATGGAACAACAGGTTCAAAGAGCCGTTGAAGCTGCAAAAAACAAACCGAAGAACCCTCAGCTCGTCATTGCTGGTAGCTTGGGCAAGATTTCTTTCAGCAATGCGAAGACACCGAAGCCGTTGCTCAACATCAAGCGCGCTGAGAGTGAGACTCCTCGTCCAAGCAACGGTAAAAAGTCTCCCCACCAAGAGACCGTGCTTGATCGGAAGCGAATTCTACGGAATGTCGAGAAGGTTTACGATATCTTGATGAAGATTGAAGACCACATTCGGCTTATCCCTCCGCCAATGGGCAACCAGCCTGACCTAGAACTCCAAGAACAGCATCGGCAATGGGCCGTGACATTAGACGCCTACAATGCAAAGCTGTGGACAGAGTTGAAGGTGCACGAGCCGATTGGCGCTACGCTTCCTCATCCATTCATCGCTTTTTTGTCGTGCGCCAAGGGAAAGAAGGCGATTCCCCGCATCTTCCCCCACCTCACTTTCGAGCAGCGAACGACGATATTGACTATGATTATTTATCACCTTGACCAGCTTGATGTTGTCCAAGGTGCCGCTGTCACAAGTGGCGAAACCAATCTCAACTCCCGTATGCGCGGGAACATTGAACTCTTCATCTCAACTGTCATGCCTTCTTTGATGCAATACTTTAATGAAACCGGCTTGGATATCGTTGATGGCGTCCTGAACCTTGTTGCTACAAAGCTAAATGTCGATCTCATTGCCAGAACAAGAATTGGTGTTTCGATGCTCACTTTGATTCTCAGCCGTGCTGTGCTTTTGAAACAGACTGGTGCTGGCAATCCGGAGCAGTGGGAGAAATGGTAAGACGCCTCAAGTTGTCCCTGCTGACGTACTCTTTACTAACTTCTTGAAAGGGACCAAACATTTGAAATTTTGTTTAGCAAACTAGAGCCTTCGCTACCGTACATTTTTCCTGGCAGCGTTAATGCCGGAATCGACGTTTATGTCTGGCAATTGCTTGCGGCCATGGGGGTTGGTGCTACCCATGATCAGCAGACTCGACTCGTACTTGCAGTCAAGGACCGTGTCTTGGACACTGTTTCCATGTCAAAGACTTTACCGCCCACTATGGCCGCGGAGCGACTTGGCAGTGTGAATCTCTTCATGCGATCCATTGGTTTGGATGTAGAGTTACTGCAGTAAAACCCAAAACGATATCATGCGACAAACAATGCATCTTCAAAACGGAAAACGAAAAGCGGGAGCAACACATATATTTGCATATATTCAAGGCTTTATCATCCTCGTGGGGAGTTCCATAAGGCAAACTTGGGCTGGCTTGTGGTTTGGGAAATCTTTACGATGTGGAGCGATTGTGCCATGTAAGAAGACGACAACGCCGTGCTAATTGGTGGGGGCCTTGCCGTGAATGTAAAGGAGAAAGGATAGGATGAAAGGGGCTAGGAATCAACCATTTCACACATGACATTTGCTACTCTGTTTATTCTTTTTTTTTTTTTTGCTCGCTAAAATCATTCTGTACAATACGAATTGGGAGATGATCATTTTGATAATATGGTATGGCGTGTCACGGGCATAGATGAAGGCTACCTTCAGCATCACGAGCATGAGGAAGGCGGGTTGGAATGCCGGTGTCGTTTGGCATGTACAAATCAAGCTTTTATCTTCCCTGCAAAAACATCCTCTCGAAAACAAACTTCTCTATACCCGTAAAGTACTGGGTAGACCATTTCGTAAACACCTTGCGCCGGGTTCATGCATACAACTTTGCCTCTCTTGACAACACTCCATCAAGCAATTTCTAGTCGATAATGATTGATGCTTTTGATGGTGCCTTGGCTCTACTGGCTTTTCTCGTAGCAGCAGGAGCTGCGCCACCCCGTGGTTTCCCCTTGGATGTCCTTCCATCCTCAGCATCCTGCTTACCTTTTGGCTCAGGCTTGACCTCTGGCTCTGGATCAGGCTTCTCAATGCCACTCACAGCCTCCAACATTTGCTTATCATTCCACTTGGCCCCGAACCTGGGCACTAATTCCTCCATATCCTTTTCCGCCCCTTCCCCCTCCTTCGTCTCGCCTTCGCCCCCGGTTTTCTTGGTATCAGTCCCGGGCTGCAGGAATAGACTCTCGTTATACACTTCCCATGCAGCCTCCTCGTTTTCATCCGTATATCTCATCTTCCGCCAGTTTTCCGTCTGCACAAAGCGTAATCTGTCTGCCATGGTTTCTGTGGTGACAGCATCGCCGTCGGCGGTGTTCTTGATGGTCATGTGGATGGCGCGGGCCGCGGTTGATGAAGATCCTGCCGCTTCTTTGGATGCTGAGGCGGAGGCGTTGCGTTCTTGTTGGGTGGCTGCATCGAGGTGGTGGAGCTGAGGTCTAAGATGGACGAGGCAAGAGACGGGTGTGAGATGGAGGTTTTCTGGCAATTGGGTTAGTGAATGGATTGATTGAAAGGAAGAGTGAGTAGCAACATACTCCCTTGGAACACCCCGACCATGTATTGAACTTCGTCTGTGTCGGGGTACTGCCCGCCCAGTGTCTGTGTCCTCAACACCTTGTCCTGGCGAACAGCCTCATTCCAGTCCATGTACTCATCGTCGTCCGTCTCACCCTTCTTCTTGCCTCTTTGCTGTACGGCGCCGAAGCCGAAGCCTCCTGCTAGACCGTGACTACCCCCGTTCTTCGACGCCATGGATGACTGAAGAACGCGGCCCCATTTCAAACCCTTCTCGCGGTCGTAGGCGGTTGTATTGTCCAGAGGCAAGTCAACCTCGACCATGCCGGAATGCGCCTTCAGACGGAGCTCGGTGGGTGGTGGTCGCGGCGTGTCATCCGTACGATTGGGCTGCTGCAGGACGAGTAGGCGGCGCCCTAGAGGGAGGGCCGGGTTCAGGAAGACGGGGTAGCTGGCAGTTATGGGATCGTCGTCTTCGATATCATTGTCGATGTCCATTTCCTGGAGCTTGCTCATATTGCGTGGGCTTCCGGTAATTCCGGCCGTATATTATCGCTTTTTTTTTCGGTGAAGATATGTTGTCTGTTCGGAACAAAATGGAGCTATGTTGCTCAATCGTTCTCAACTAGAGGAAAATTAGGATAGGCGAAGTGAAGTCACGACTCCCGCAATGATCAAAGGTAGGGGAGGTGGGGTGTAGAAAATTGTTGGCAGCGCGGAGCTCTTATCTTATCAGTGTACTCACTTGGTTGAGCGACGACGACGATTCTGTTCCCTTCGTCCCTCCGCTTGCTCAAGTCCGTAATCGATTACGGAATTGATATTAGGCATATTGCGTATCAATTCGTCTCAAGTTTTTTCTCATCATGATAAATGTGAGAAATGCCAAACACTATCTGACTTCCACGACCCTATCGAGTAGCCAAGATTGGCCGCATCTTCCAGGGTCTAGGGATGCGATTACAGTTTGTGACAGAATATATTTACCCACCAAGGAATATACACTAATATATTATAGTATAGAGCGTGACAGCCAGGTAACTGACCTGGTTTAACACTGTTTGCCTCCCACTGTAAGTTGGTCGTATCCATGGGAACATTTCTCTCCCTCTGCTGATCGCAACTTCAACGTCTTCCATGGCTCAAAACGTCTCTTTCATAGTTAAGAAAATGCGGTAATTTGTTTCTGCCATACTGAATCCATCACGGTATTCTCCTTCCCTGCAACTCGTCTTTAATTGAGGTCAGTACCCGGCGCCTACCAGACTACTTGGGTCCTATTACATATATGGGACGAACCAAGCCAGAAGTCATTCAATTCACTAGGAAAATGCGAAATTCGGCCTTCGTCGAAGATCTGTGCGAAGATACCTTGTTAAGATTGCCCCCAGCATACGCGTCTATGCCAGTCTACCTGTTCTTGCCTCTATGTCTTCGACCTGCTTCCAACATCTTTGCCCTCTTCTGGAACCGCTCACCGATCTCTACGCCGCGGCCACTTCCTCTTGGGCCATCTGTTGTATCAAAACCACGCTTTCGGCTCTTCTCAAGCATCGCACGTACTCCGCCACCGGGAGGCCCTTTGCGTTTGGTCAAGCGATCGATTCGATCAACTCCCTCTCCCAAATTGTGCCATTCCTCGCCACCAAACTGCATACGACCACTGCGACCAGCTGCCTTGGCCTTCTTAGCGCGGTCCTTCTTGCTCTCTTTGGGAAGACGGGTGAAGTTGGTTTCTTCGTATTCGCGACGCACGGCCTCTTCCTTGCGTTCTGAGGCGGTTTTCATCTTGCGACCACCCTGGACAATAGTTGTACCAATACTGGGTTCGGCCATGGGAGCAGTGGCTAATTCATCATTGACAAACTCTTCCATGGTGTGTGATATGGGGGCCCTTCGTTGAGTCTTTTCACGAGGTCGTGACGATTCCATGACAATGCGATCTCGCCTGGGCGGCCGGTAGACCCCTGCTGGTCCGTCTTCCCGTCCGCCGCGGCTAGTAGAAACCTCATCAACCATAGCTCCAAGGTTGGGAGCTGCGCCCATGTTGCCTTTCCGGGCTTGTGACTGCTCATCTGCTTCGCTCTCTGCGTCGGACTCCAGGTCTTCTGATGCAGAGTCTGATGCAGACTCGTCTTCATCCGCATTGGATTGTTGTTCTTTTGCTTTCTGCTCGCGCTGGGCGTCTTGCGCCGTTCGCAAGAATCGTTCGATGGAGAACTTTAACTTTTCCTCGAGTGGCCGGGCGCCCTTCTCGAGATAAAGTCGCAGCTCAACAAGTTTAGCTCGAACTGATTCGTCCAGCTGACTGCTGTTTTCAGGGTCGGGCTTGGAACTGCGGAGTTTGAGGAGAATTAGAAAGACGAGGTTTTGCAGGTACGAGAGGAGCAACTCGTTTTTCACATCGAGCAGTGAAATGCCATCTGCAGGGGGTTCGATGGCGGCAATTTTTGGGGTGACTTCTTGAGTTAGTGATAAGGACTGAGTCAAAGAAGCCAGCAATGCCGGCAAAGTGGTTGGAGCAGCCATCGCGGTGGTGCCTTGAAAGTGCAGTGGATTTGATGCAGTCGACTGAAGAAGAACTCGAGACCGACGATGGTTCAAGTGTTTGCCCGCGAAACTTTTTAGTGGAGCAGTCTAGTGGAAAGACTTCCGTTCAGCGACCCTGCGTGCACTTTGCAAATTTTCGAAGTCCTGTCGCTGGCCCTTTATCTGCCCCACCTTGGCTTCCGATCTCATCTTTCTCTTTTCATGCGATGCGGTCAGTTAGTTCCCCACGCGGTTGTTTCCACTCCATACGACGACGACAACCCGTCCATCGCCCTTCGACGCCCAGAAGAATCACAGTATGACAATCACGGTCATTCTAGGCCCTCAGTGGGGTATATCTCGCGCTCCTCCTACCTCTCGCTTCGTCTTGTTTTGCCTTAACAACACCAGGCATTAAACGAAATGCGTCCAGTAATATCTGCGGCGCTAACTCGACGTGATTGTATAGGAGATGAGGGCGTACGTCCCCTTTCACGTGGGTCTATTCTTCCAACTGTCAGATATGCACAAATTGCTAATAACTGTGGTCGCTTAGAAGGAAAGTTGACCGATAACCTTGTTCCTGAGGCGCAACTCTGCGCTCGAACTGCCGTGAGCATTAGCTTCACCCGCTATAACATGAGTTTACTGACAAACCATTAAGGGGGGTCACCTGGCCATTCTATCACGTGAATTAGAGATTCCTCGCTAGCGGGCAATCGATTCATGAGAAGAAGAGGCTGACCACATTCCATAGCTTCGGAGGAGTATCGTCTTGGTGGGTGTATATAGACGCAAAGACTTGCAGTCTACTGACTTTTCCTAGCTTTCACCCGCTTCCCTCCGGTCTGATCAATCCACGATGGTAAAATCCACTTCAGCCAGACCTGAAGAAAACGGAACTCTGGCATTCCTCCGGAAGGTAGTCTGGGTACTACCTGGCGCGGCGTGGGCCCAAGCTATAGTTGCAAGCATGCTGTAGGTAAACCTGAGGCTCGTCTTCCTTATTTCTCCAGCTAAACTCCTTAGTAGCGAAGTGGTATTCGTTTGGCAGAAGTCTGCAACCCTACAGTATTAGAGACTAAGCTCCGTCGACTAGCTTCTGGTCATTGGAAGCGCTTTGGAGACTTGCTCGAATATGACGTCGAGGAGGGGATTGCTCGTTTCAATGAGTATCGGCTTAAACTTGCCAAGTATGCTGTGGATGGCGTGACTTTCCTGAAGGGTGCCTAAGAACACGGCATGAACATTGTTGTTGAGGGAGCTCATGTTGGTTAAACCTATTTCTGTGTGCTTCCGTTATCTCTTGCTAATACTAGACAAAAGGCTCTATAAAAAGGGGTCAAATTCGACCTGCTAGCTGTGAGCAGCTTCCACATACAACCTAAATACCCGATTTTGGGACGTAACACTTTGGTGATCTTCCAAGGGAAGCTAGAGATTATATTGAGGCAAATGCTTTATTACTTTTCAATTTATTTTCACTAATTTTCTATTCAGTATATCGAAACCTTTATTGGTGTTAAGATAAGCTGTATTTCTCAAATATCTGTAAACAAGCCTAACGTCAATTAGATCAAGTGGATTGGCACTGGTCCCGCGGGCATGCGATGATTACGCGCGCTTGACACGTTGGCTATATAGTAGATAGGGAGAAGGAGATGATGTAGACGATTCATATAATTGCGAGAGAAATTTGCCCTCACAGTACTTTTGCCAGGCAAAATGGTGCGATTAGATAGCTACTAAGGTAGGTTTCTTGTAACTGGCGTAGTTGGGTTGTTCCTGTTGTACTGTTTGACAGCACCAGACCAGACATCAATTGACATGGCGATGGCTACGGAGCCAGCGTACCCGACTTTTTGCTGTCCGTCTGGTGTAATAATTCCTCCGTATGGGGTACTGACTTGGGTACCTACTGTAGGTAAGTTACACGCGTCACCAAGCCCACATGGATCCTGCTACTCCGTACGGAGTACTACGTATAACTACTAATTAATACATTGTTAGCAGGCACGCAGGCACGGCTCCTGACTAAGCTGGTTTGGGCGATAGTGTCCATGTCACCTTTGTTGCCAGATTCCCACTTCCACCCCCCATAGCTGTCAGATTTTGGGCCTTGGGTCGACTTAGCATTTTTGTAGCGGGATTCTCTGTTCTGTGCCATCGTGTCGACAAGAACATTGAAGCTTGTCTAGCTGCTGATGCGTGTCGAGCAGAAGTGTCGACTTCTGCTCTCGACTTCTTCTTGATTACGGCTTTGGCCATCTCGAGCAGAGCTCTTCTCGTCATCCACCCAGCGTCATCGTACCGATAGCATAACGAAGCCGCGAGCCGCCGGTCGAGCCACAGTCATCCATCTGCCTTGGCATGCCGTAAACAGTCGCCAAACATGCACTTCAAAGACACCGCGCAGCGGGCGCTTTTTGCTGCAGCGCTCATGGCGCCGCAGTGGACGTCTGCTTTCTACCTGCCTGGTGTTGCGCCGACCTCATATAAGCCCGACGACCAGGTACCGCTGTACGTCAACAAGATTTCGCCCGTTGCTGCGATGCAAGACTACCGACTACACTCCGTGGTCTCATACGACTACTACCATCCCGCTTTTCAGTTTTGCCAACCGAATGGGGGACCGAAATACGTATCCGAGAGCCTAGGAAGCATCTTGTTCGGTGACCGGATCATGACTTCGCCATTTGACTTGCGCATGCTCAGAAACGAGACTTGCAAGCCTCTGTGCAAGGTCTCGTATCCGGAAAAAATGCGAGAATTCATCAATGACAGAATTTACCAGGGTTATAGCTTGAATTGGCTCGTTGACGGTCTGCCGGCAGGCCAGAAGATTCAAGATGAAATCACAGGCACTACCTTCTACAGCCCCGGCTTTTCCATTGGCGACTACGAATTCACAGAGAATGATGAAGAGGATGAGAAGCTTTCCTTCAATAACCACTACGAAATTTGGATCGAGTATCACGAGGTGAATGGGAACCCGAATCAACTTCGTGTGGTTGGTGTCGTCGTCCAACCCTCTTCCTTGGCCTATACTGGCGAACCCGACTGCGCGGATAACCATCCAAAGCTCATCTTTGAAGAAGGCGACAAGAACCAGGATGTTTACTTCAGTTATAGTGTGTATTGGAGGAAGTCGGACACTGCCTGGGCAACTCGATGGGACAAGTATCTCCACGTATTCGACCCCAAGATCCACTGGTTCTGGCTGATCGACACTGCAATTATTGTCATTATTCTGGTACTGACGGTCATGTCAATTCTGGTGCGCACACTGAAGAAGGACATCTCTCGCTACAATCGCCTTGATGCCATCAACTTGGACGACCTCAGTGGAACTTCTGCAATGGAGGATGGCGTTCAAGAAGACTCTGGCTGGAAGCTGGTTCACGGCGATGTCTTCCGAACCCCGTCCCACCCGCTCTTGTTGTCCGTTTTGCTGGGCAGCGGTGCTCAGCTTTTCGTCATGACCGGGTGTACCATTGTCTTTGCTCTACTGGGCTTCCTGTCTCCTTCCAACCGTGGCTCTCTTGGGACCATCATGATCATTCTGTACACTCTTCTCGGATTCGTCGGAGGTTATACTTCGGCGAGAACTTACAAGGCAATGCAGGGTGAACAGTGGAAGGTGAACATTGCCTTGACACCGGTGCTGGTCCCTGGTATTGTCTTTGCTGCCTTCTTCCTTTTGGATCTTTTCCTCTGGGCCAAACAGTCCTCTGGCGCTGTGCCATTCACCACCATGCTTGTAATTATTGGCATCTGGTTTGTCATCTCCATCCCACTGTCAGTTGCAGGATCCTGGCTGGGTTTCCGAAGCCCCCAGATTGAGGCACCTGTGCGCGTCAACCAGATTCCACGTCAGATCCCGCCAGTTACGACATACCTTCGTCCTATTCCCAGTATGCTGATCGTTGGTTTGCTGCCATTTGGTGCCATCTTTGTCGAGCTTTACTTCATCATGAGCTCCATCTGGTTCAGCCGCATCTACTACATGTTTGGCTTCCTCTTTCTTTGCTACGGCCTCATGGTGATTGTTTGCGCCGCCGTCACTATTCTTATGACTTATTTCCTGCTCTGCGCCGAGAACTATCATTGGCAGTGGCGATCTTTCCTGGCTGCTGGCATGAGCGGTGGTTACATTTTTCTAAATTGCCTGCTTTACCTCATCACCAAGGTAAAGCTCGGCGGCCTGGCTGGGATAGTCCTGTACATGGGCTACAGTGCTCTCATTTCCTTCCTATTCTTTATTCTCGCCGGTACGATTTCTGCACATTTGATATTTGGGGATGTAACGGCGGCTAACGTAAATTTTAGGCTCCATTGGCTATTTTGCCAGCTGGTGGTTCGTCCAACGGATTTACTCGTCAATCAAGATTGACTGAGGGAATCGACATCTCAACTTGCTTCGAACCAAGTTTGGACTAGAGGCCGGCGGGATTACCATGGACGTCGTCGTGGTCCCCGCAAATCTGATTATGAGGGATGTAAAACACCATATGTATGACTAGCGTGTGCAGTCCGATACTGTCCTTCAGCAAACCGGTCAAGGGCACAGCGATCAGGGGGTTTTGTCATGTCTGGGAAAGGCGACTTTATTGATAGACAAAAGAATATGACATGAGCATTTAGCATTTTGAACTTTGTTAAATCATTTTCGCGAGTTCTATCCTACGCTACACATGCATATCGTCATTGACGTGGTGAGGAATCAATGTGCGTAAGTTGCTCAGTCATCATCGTCGTCGTCATCCAAATCATCCAAATTCGTGAACTGAAACTGCTTCTTCTCCCCAAGACCTGTACCAGCTTTGGACAGCCCGGGTCCATCAGGCTGCCCACTGACGATACTCGCCCGCCTCCATTCTGCCTGTTCCTTTTCTCGTTGCCTCTCTCTCTCAGCACGAGCCCTTTCCCGTTCCTCACGGAGCTGTTTCTCGCGCGACTCACGCTCAGCCTTCTCCTGCTCTTCCTTGGCCTTGCGCTCCTCTTCTTCCTTGAGCCTCCTTTCCTCTTCTGTCGCAGGATCGTACCCCTTTGGATCAATGCCCTGTTCGACAAGAACCTGATACGAAGCCAAAGATCCCGAACGAATCTTGTCCTCCAATGGCCAGGGGAAGAAGAGTTGTCCAGACAGCGGGTTGAGATACTGGCTCATTCCCTCGGGTAGACTCGTGTTCAGATTCGCTGCAGGTTGCTGTGTTGGCTGCTCCGCAGTCAACTGCGGTGTGCCATTGACGGCAGGACTTTGCGGCTGCGAAGGCGTCCGCGCAGACGGGGTCAGAGCAGACTGTGCCTGAGACTCAGGGTTAGGCGACTGCGTTTCTGGCTCTGCTGCCGCGCCTTCAATCGTCGCTGCTGGCGGGAGGGTGGTTTTGCTGATTCTCCTTGCGTAGCGGAGGAGCTCTTCGTATGCGATGGGGTAGTTGGGCTCGGATGGGTATGTCGTCGTGTGTGTGCTGACAATGTCTTTGTGCGTGTTGGCGAGGCTGGTCAGGGTGTCGCGAATTTGGGTGTCCAGTGCTGCTGAGGACCGGCGAAGCTTTTGAATGCGGAGATTATTGTTTTGATGGATTTGAACTAGAATTGAGTCAGAGGATGTGGCCTATAGGCGAGGGAGCACTCTGCGAGTTTTTTTCCTTTTTACCTTCTTCAAGGCCTTTGCTGAGTTCGTTGTCGGCGGCTTTGAGCTCTTCGGCTTGAATAGTGGACGGGTGATATTTTGTGACGGAGTCAATTAGATTTGACAATGCCTTTTCCAGTCGCTCAAAGCGACTGTCAATGTATTTGTCCATATCTGCGAGTGCTTTCTCGACAAGCTACCAGCATCACATGGAAACTACTATTATAAAATGGAATTGGCTTAGGTTCTGAACGATGAACCGATGCCGTTTGGTATTACCTGCAGTGGGTCAACTCAAACTCATTTCATTGGCTACTCAATATCCAGAAGCTGTGGTGTGGGCCTCAGGCCACCATCCGGCCTTTCCCGTGGGCAAACTCGCGCATCGTTCCGGCATCAATCTTGAAGACGATACTCCGTGAAGCAATTGAATCATATTGAAAGGCTTCGACCGCCACCCCTCCAGTCAAGATGGTCTACACTGTAAGTACGCTCACGACCAATGACTTCTAGGAAGACTGAATGCCGCACTGCATGAATAATACCGCGCCGAGGTGGAGTGTTGGCTGACGGAATCTTGCAGACTCCTGTCCGCGCTGCGGAATTCAAGAGCGCCTACGGCCCCAAGTACGTACCGAATGTATCCAATGACGCCGATCTCGACAAAGCAACCGAGTTGCCTGCGGAAATGGCCTGCCATGTTGCCTAGCCCTGGGCACAGTTGGCTCGAATGATGGGAGGAGATTAACATTGTGCAATAGGTACAAGTACCAGCCTAACATCCATGGATGGAACCAGACTACTCTCCTCCGAACGTAAGTTGGATCTTCTTCTCCGGGATGACTCCGGGATGGGTGAAGCATTTGGTCGAATGAGGGTTTATGGCACCGGGGGCGACCCTAGGTCTGGAAAGGAACAGTAGGCTTGGAAAAGGACAATTCCTTTTCGCATGGGGGACTGCCGCTTGACCTAGATGCACAAATCCGCCTGCTGGGTCAATTTTGAGCGGAACATGGGAGCATTCTTCAACACCCGCGCAGTCAACGGGAGGCTTGGGCAAATATGAAACTAACGATTGGGATAGTGGAGTGAAATCTGCCTCTTTTGGTGGTGCTGCCGTTGTCGGTCTACTTCTCTACGTCTCCGGCATTCCTCGTGTCCAGAGGGACGTTCTCCAGGTATATCTGCTAAATAGGCCGATTCTAGTGTTCTGACTGCTAATACTGGTCCATAGAAAATCCCCTTCGTCGGCCGCTACTTCATTCAGCCTGAGGTCCACCCCCAGGACAACGTGAGTCTCGAAAATCCTAATTGCCGTCACAATGTCATGGTTAACGAATTTGTAGCCCTTTTAAAATGCATTGGTGGAGCATGGATTGTAGATTATCAAAGCCCTGTGGACGAACAAGGGTTCTTCTCTTTGTATAAGATACTCAAAATAGAACTTTTCTGAGCCACCTGCCCTGTTTTAAATAGCCTGTAATCTTTGTCTCTTCATTTCGTGCTGCGACTATCGTTTACGAGATGTCTGATACCGGAGGATGTTAAATACGCCACTATGCGTAATCTATGCGTGCAGTGGTGCAAACGCATCCTGGAGAAACACTGAGCTCATTCACTATTACTAAATTGTCTCCGATCAATCAAATATTCTCTGTGAATATCGTGTCGATGAGCACTGCTTAGGAGGTCTAAGATATGTGGCGTTTGTACAGTATGAGACAGTGCGACTCGCACAGACAAAACCCCGTGGTCCGTGGAAATGGAAATCATCTTGCTAGGTAATCAATCTCCTTGCAACCAACCTCGCGCCGCTTATAGAGCACAAGGCGCCAACAAAAGATCCTTCAAAATGGAATAGCATGGGACTTTTTTTATGTCGAGAATTTTCGTTATTTGCAGGCCGTTTACGCTTGCTAATATCCGTCTTTCACTCTCTCCGCGTTGTCTATTTTCAGCTACTCTTTGTCATTGTCGTCCACCAACATGGCAGACGGCATAGAAGTCACCAGACGCTGGGCGTCGCCCCTGGCCACATTGGCACTTTCTACACCAATGTTGATTTTGGTCTCTCGCAGGACCGGACAAAAGTGGGAAAATTTCCTCCCGTTTTACCTGCTGACTCTACTAAGCGGAGCGTGGTTCATGATGGTTTCCGAGACGGTATCAGAGCCATACTTGGTATGGCAGAGATTCTTTCATTTTCGATCAGTTTCCCGACTCACAGCCTCCTAGGATGAAATATTCCACATACCACAAGCTCAGAAATACTGTGAGGGCAAATTTCTCGAGTGGGATGACAAAATCACGACTCCACCAGGGCTGTTCGTATAGCAAGTTTTCCCCATAGGCTACGACGATAGACTAATACTCGTATCAGGTACCTATTTTCTATTCTCTTGCAAAAGGCAGCCGCGGCTGTGAAGCTTCCATGGGTGTTTAGCTGCGACACTAGTAGTTTACGCATTGCAAACGTTCTAGGCTTGATCGTTCTCGCCTGCTTGACCCTGTTGTGCCGACATGAAATTGAATCGCGACTATACGAGGCACATTCGTCAGCGCGCCTCAAGACCATCTCAAAATATGCCGTGCATACGGCCTTCAACATTGTGCTATTTCCACTACTGTTTTTCTTTTCGGGGCTGTACTATACCGATGTTATTTCTACGGCTGTGGTGGTTGGTGGCTATTTAAACCACCTCAAGCGCGTTGGACGAGATCCAAGCTCCTTTGTGAGTGACTTGATTACTATTTTATTAGGTACTCTGGCTCTGTTCACCAGGCAGACAAATGTCTTCTGGATAGTGGTGTGGATGGGGGGCCTGGAGGCTGTTCATGCACTCAAGACACTGCGGCCACAACACGTAGAGCAGCCTTTCATGACTACATTGACAGACCAGGTCACGTTTTATGCTTGGAGATACTCTGTGGGCGATGTTCATGATCCGCCTCTGAATCTGGCTTGGCCAGATGGTAAGAATTTTCTTGTCTTCGGGTTGCCAAAGCAGGGTGCTGATATTCCTCGCTAGATATGCTTTTCACAGCGATTAGTCTTGGCATCGCAGCTCTCTGCAACCCCATTCGAGTCATTCGTCAACTATGGCCATACATCTCAGTTCTCGCCGCCTTTGCTAGCTTTGTGGCATGGAATGGCGGCGTTGTCCTGGGTAAGTCGTCTCATAGAAACGAACTAGCATCGTGTCACTGACCTTGCATAGGTGACAAGTCGAATCACGTTGCCACCATTCACCTGGCCCAGCTACTCTATATCTGGCCACTTTTTGCCTTCTTTTCTCTCCCTCTACTCTTGCCGCATGTAATTCCTATTCTCGGCATTGCACGAGATGTGCTTCGTTTCTTCTCACGAAGTGGCCAAAGTACGGGGTTATCACAGCCCTCAAAGACAACTGGGTCTTTTAAATTTTCGCGTTCTGTCAAGCCGAAGCGACCAGATGGTTCCAAAGCAAGGGACACTCGAAGCACTGCCTCTCAACTCGCTCCCAACACGCCAAGCCCTGGGTCGCCATCTCCTGCTCTAAGGACCGCGGATTTTATATTCAACTCCAAATTCATTCCTTGGATAATTTATACTCTGCTCACCTTTGTAGTGTCCACAGCAATTGTTAAATTCAACACCATTATTCATCCATTCACACTCGCCGACAACCGACACTACATGTTCTACATCTTTAGATACACTATCCGCCGTGGCAGCCTAATCAGATTCATGCTCATCATTCCATATACTATCAGCAGATGGATGGTATGGGGCACATTGGCAGGTTGTGCGAACTGGATCTCATCGAGCAGCCGTGAGCTGTGCTCTGCTCGATACAACGTCAACGAGCCTGCTCCCTACACAAGCTATCCTCTCTGGATCGCATGGGGAACCAAGAAGACACAAACAGACGTGGAATATCCCCAGGATATGAGTCAGATGCCGAGTTTCTCGGCATCAACAGACGGTGAACTTCAAAGTACCGTGGAGGATGACCCGCTCCTGGTCTCGGCTGAGCCAACTTCAACTTCTACAGGCCTCATATTCCTGTTGGCAACCACACTCTCCCTAATGACAGCACCACTTGTTGAGCCTCGCTACTTCATTCTTCCTTGGGTGATGTGGCGCCTGTTAGTACCAGCTTGGAGGGTCCATGATCACGCACATGTAAACTCCCTGTTTGAGGGAGTGGCTCCACGGTCAATTGTTGGCAAAACCAAGGAGGTATTTAAACGGAATGACGTGCGGCTTGTCCTCGAGACACTGTGGTTTGTGGCCATAAACGTGGCTACAGGGTACGTATTCCTCATGAAGCCGTATGTATGGAAAGATGACCAAGGGCGGATTCTCGAAGATGGCCGACTACAGCGGTTCATGTGGTAGCAAAACAAAAGGATACACCACGTCACATAAAAAAAATAGGCCCATAGAATATGAAGCAATCATGTAGATTTCATACACAGCATTCGATGCTTAAGATGAAAAAAAAAAAAAAAAAAGAAAGAAGCAGA